ATACATATACGATGATTCGTCAAGTTCGAAAACGTGGCTGATTACTCGTTTTACCTTCGCAACTTGTAAAGTGGCTCGCTACGCAGGCATGCAATCGCTGCCCTCTTTCTCGCGGCGCACAACACACGCTTCCAGCCATCCCGAGATGGTGGAGGTTTCGTTGCCTTTTAGCAGCATGCACACACAACTACAGTTGTTAGATCATTAACAAATAATTACAGGAGTCATCGTCGATGGTTAACGTGTCAATTCTCGCTACTCTGACGATTAGACAACCGAAAAGCACTGGTTACTGGGTAAAAAGACACTCGAAGTTCTCGAATTAAAACGAACGTACAGGGATTAGATAATTAATCGTCTTCGTTTAGTTGTATTTGATTACGTGTGATGTAGGAAACGAAGGCAAGGTGTGAGGATACACCATTAACGCGAAGCCAAAACCAAAAGAGGATACCTGGGCAGGGAATGTAGGGAAGTTTGACGGAAACAAGCGATCACAGCTCGTTTACGTTGTATCGACACCACGGATCGATATTGACCCTTGCTCTGCTGTTGCGGATGATCTATCTACTCGAGAACACAAAATTACTGGATGAATCGGACGAATCCTTCGGACGAAGAGGAAGCTTCGTCCATCTGAGAAATGTGGATCGCGGAATATTCTAGAAAGTAGTGATCACTTGAAAATGACCCTTCGCTTACCATATGTAAACCGTAAAGAACTTTGGCCATATCGGTGATCCTCGCAACCACGTCCTCCAGCTGTTGCGCTTTCACTGGTTCCATGGAGTCCTTCTTTTGGCCTAACTTGGAGTACAGATAATGCTGCCAGGACATTTCGTCTGCTGGGTCGATCTTGTCCGGCAGAGTGAGCTGCGTCTTCGCGAATTCCGAGATCTCGTATTCCGGCATTTTCTTCAGGAATCTGTCCTTGCAGTGTTGCACCAATTCTTGCTCGCGACCAGCGAATAAGTTTAGACCAACTGGGAGCAACCTCTTCAAACAGGCCACCATCAAGGAAGCTTGGACCTCCTTGTCTTTGTCTCTCTTCTTGTCACGATGTTTCTTCTTTTTCTGCCGGTTTAACGGAATTATAAAATTTACAGAATCGTTTGTAAATTAACACATTGTCGGCCGGCGTCACGGAAACTTGATTTTCCACCACTATTTCCGTAACGTAAGACGTACGAAAACGATTTTGAATTTGATGTTCATGTTTTAATAAAATGCTTCTGGAAACTATTCCGTTGCTTGCAAGATACTACTCACGCACTTGCCATTTTACTTTGGCAATTGTTACTTTTTGGAGAAGAACCCGTTGCACCCGAGATTAACTAAGATTTATGGAGGACATAGTTGTAAATTCTTTAAATTGTCAATACGCGAGGGATGTGAAGGATGTGCAAAAAATCGCTAATTTGACAAGCTAATTTTTATCAATAAATATAGTGTAATAATTATCCTACGGACGATTGCATAAATATCGCCGAAAAAAGTATAAAAGTAAAATTACCGATTGATTCCGGTTTCGTGACACTGACCTTGCCTCCTCCAGACGGCGCCGTTCCGTCCGAAATGGCAGCAGGCCTCCTGGTCGCTGTCGGCATGATCAGCACCATATTGTCGATCTCGTTAGCCGATATAAAGTTTTGCTCCTCTCTCAAGAAGTACTGAGACTTGGACCAAATGTTAAATATCGCTGCCACGTGATTATAGAGATCCTCCGCCTCCGGTATGTTATTCCTCAGCCAGTGATTCCTCTGCAGATCGACGTACTTGATCAAGAGTGGATAGAACGAGTAAATATCGCGAACCAGAAGTTGCCAATCTTCCTGAATCTGCGCCTCGACTTGCGACGTGTCGTCCGTGGATGATTTAATAAAACCGCGGAGAGACTCCTCTTTGTGAAACATGTTGTCCGTACGTTTCCTCACGCGTTCGGCGAGCGGCAGGAACGGATCCTTCAGCAGTTCCTCCGACGAGTTGATGATAATCTGCTGAGTATAGGCAGCGATACGGGTCATCCAAGGGGCGTTCTCGTTACCGATGTTCTTCTTGATCAGTTTCAACACGTTCTTCAGCAGTTGGTTCATGTGATCGCTGGTGACCATGCTGACGTACGTCCCTTCGGTTGGATTGACGTTGTCTGGACCCTGAGCCCACCAGAAAGGCAGATAGGAGCAAAGCAAAGGAAGTATGACGTCAACCACGTGAGGGAGGTCGTTGTAGGTTTTCTCGGATTCGACAAACTGATCGACTTCCGTCAGGATCGTCTCCAGAGTGGGCATGCTCGACTCCATCTTCGTCATGATGTCCTGGGCTTCCAAGGAATGATCGGCTATGCGATTCAACAGCGAGTACGGGTTGTGCTTGTTCAAGTGGGGCTCGAGGAAGGCCACGGGGAAACAGCTGGAAAAGGCACCTAGACAGGAACCCAAGTTGGGCTTGTGACGCTCGATTTCTGTCTTCAAGTACTTCCTGTCGTGCGTCAGGGAGGCGTCCACACCGAGAGTGTACAGGGATGCCAGCATCTTGTAGGATGCCACTTGAATTTCGTCCACTGTTTAAACACACAAGGTAGATAAGTTCCTTAGTCTCATTACGAGAAGAAGTCGAAATTCCGTACTTACGCAACAAATCGCTGCCGTACTCGCAGGAAGCCAAATGATCGAACATGGCTGTGAGCACCGGCAAAACCACGCTGTTGATGTACGACAAGGACGTGGAAGTTTTCAGATGCGTTCCTCTCAGGTGACTGTATTTGCCCTCTTGGAGATTCAGAATCGTGTGCCCTAAATCATCCGCAGTGTTGTTGAAGAACGTTAACATAGACGTTCGAATGAACTCGGGACAGTTCTTCACTAAACTCTTGGCATCTATGCCTTTCACTAACACTTGAAGACAGCGGACGGTAATCCTGACGTCCGGACCGAAAGCAGCCAGTCTAGATCTGAGTAAGCTAGCCAGTTTGCAAAACAGAGCAGCGACCATCTCCTTTTCCTTCAGGGAAGCAGCTCCGACGTTGTTGGTAGCCGTGGCCACAGCTATGAAATAATTCTTGTGCGTGCTGAAGTATTTCTCCATCAGCGGTAGCACGACTTTGCTGAAGAATTTAATGTCTCTCGTGGACGTTTTGAAGCTGTTCCTACGGCTGAACGTGTCGGATGGTCTCAGCAGTTTCATGTTGATGGTGGCCTTGTCCAAGTAGGCTATCAGTTTCTCGAGCAACGAGTAGGCAAATCGCAATTCCACGGAGGCTCCAGCCGTTGCAACTTCCGACTCTCCGCCTCTGTTCGGCTTGTGAAGCTTGTAACCTTGGTACTGCAGATACTTGAGGAATTCTTGGGAACGTTCGCGATCCTTTCGTTTCTCCTTGTCCGTCAAGAGATCGTACGGAACCAGTTGAGGATGAATACCACCTCCTGCGAAGGACAGTCAAATATTCCCGCATCTGAGTAATAAATTACCGACTTGTTAATTTATCTCGATTGTTCGTCGATACGAACCGCAAGTGATGAGTTCTTCCTTCTTCTTTTTCGCCCAGATGTCGTGTGCGTTGTCTGCAAGGCGCTCTGCCATGTTCTGCATCTCTCTGCTCAGAGTCAAGTTAGTCATGTCGACTGGATGAGGGTTGTAATTAAATGGACTCGCTGAATCACCCTGAAATATATCAATAATATAATTCAGTCATTCGTATTCGGTAATCACGCGTAAAGGGAATTTCATGACTTACTTGACTTTTTGATGATCTACGCATGGAACTGCGATTGGTGGATGGTACGTCCACTTCTGCATGTTCGACGCTCCATCCTATAGCCAACAAAGCTTTCAAGCTCTCTCTGACTGGCTCTTTGTACCGTTCTCTCTCGTAATCGTTCAACATGTTGTACGGTTTCAATCTCGGATGAGTCTTGTTCACCTCGGACCACTGTTCACCGTAAGTCCAACCATTTTCCAACTTCCGACTGGCCCATGCGTCGTGGTAATGTTCGGAGAACTTCTGGACTATCTGGTTGAGATCGTTGTTGAGAACCACGCTGTCAAATATTAAAAAGTTTGACAAGATTTCTGACATGTATTTATTTAATTTGAGAGTTATCAAAAATGGTGAAAGAAAAAAGAAGAAGGAAAACGCTATAAAATATTAAGAAGTTAGCCGTTTGACAAAATTGTCGAGGGACAATGAGAGGTCTAGATCGCTAATTCGAAATGATGTTTACGTTCAGAGGATTTCTCAGACAACTGTATCGAATGATGCGGTACCTGGAAGTGTTGATTGGCTGAGGATTGTACGGTCCATCAGGCGACTGAGCAGATGCAGATTTACTTCCATACCACTCGTCGTCGTAATTTTTCGACAACGAATAGTCGGGTGGTAGCGCGCAGCCGATGGCCGTGAGGCAAGGCAGAGCCTTTCCAAACAATTCTGGGTCGTAGTCCATCTTGGACAGCGAGTCGAAGATGTTGCTGAAGAGGACCATAGTCAGACGTTTCTCTTCGTCGCTCGATGCACCGTACGCGCCTTGCCCGCCGGTCGAGCCGTAGTATTTCGCGCAACGATCGTAGTGAAGAGTCAGCAGCTGTTACAAAATTACGAGATCACCTACGATTTACACAAATTCTGTTGCACATATGAAAGAATATATCTACTTACCCTTAGAGCGACGGTCGTATATTCCGACAGTTGGGACACGTCCACCGTTAACTTTCGAAGCAGTTTCAGCAGCATGCTTGGTTGCATTTGGCTAGAAAGAAAGATCAAAGATTGGACGTGCCTTGAACGGAGGATTTGAAGACTCGAGGGCAGTGTGTACTATAAGCGCTCGTTACCCTCGTTAGCGTAATTATCGTGATTACAATCGTAGGCGAGAATTAGCGATTTAAAGTAATGTTGTTGAAACTTACGAGACACTTAATTCGTGGACGTCTCTTGTCAAGCAACAGAATGATTCCGTTAATCGTTGCAGTCGTATTTTGGAGAAGGCTCGTGCTTACCTGGTCAATGCCACGAGGAAGTCCGACACTGCCTCACGTTGACCCTTGGTCAGCATCCTGTTCTTGCTCAATCGGTACACGGTGTGCAACGTAGCGTCCAACAAGCTGGCATAGTTATCTGCCTCGTTGTAGAATTTGGAATGCTTGATCAACAGAGGTAGAATACTGTTTCCAATGTAACGATTCATCGCTAGCGCCATGTCTGATTCGTATCCATCGTTCTGACAATCGGAATTATTGAGAAATAATTAGGTTTACAAAGTTTAGTAAATTCGGCCAAGTTGTAAATTTCTGATAGCTGAATTCTCTCGTCTGAGCAGTCTGAGATTAGCACTTACCCTGTCCAACATAGTGGCGGCTCTAAGATCGGGCAGAAACGCTTCCTCGAGTATCTTGAAGAACAATTCCCTGGTCTCGATGCCGTAAACACGCTCCAAAAACAGAACGATGCTCTGCTTATGCCCGGGAATCAGACCGGACGGCGTGTCGCTTTTTGGCTTCTCCTCGCCCGCTGCAGGGTTTAGCAAGGTGAACCTCAGAGACAGGACGCCCTGCAAATCGTCGAGAGGCACCAGCGATCGAAGAATGGCCCTCGCTCGAAGAGACTCGTTTTTTCCTGAAAGAATGACTTCGATGAACAACCTCCTTCGCAAAACACGATTAACGAAAAAAAAGAGAGAGAGAGAGAGAAAGAAAACTTTGATTTCGTATATATATTACCGACAGATTCTGTAGACGCCTCTGTTGCACGTCAAAAAAATAAAAACTGTTATTAGATCAAACGATAATTGAAAGTTGCGAGGAATGAAGGAGCTGATGGATCTCAAAGCTCAATTTTTGGATGATGTCATTTCTACGGATGTAAATTGGATCTTGGATCGCGAAATAAAAGTACAATTGTGAAATCAGTATAAACGATGAAGTGTGTGTACAGTCGTGCTGGTGTACTTACGAAGATACTGCGTGATACCGCAGCCGAGGAAGGAACGAGCTCAACTTTTACTTACCCTGTTCGATAACTGAGGATTCTGGAGCGCAACGGCCTAGTAGATCCACCAGGGTACAGTAAAAGTTCAAAATCGCAGCTCCTGTGTCGATGTAGTCTTCGTCGTCGTCCGATTCCGGCAATGGGTGCTCGAACTGCATGACAGCTGTACCCTCCGCTTCGTCGTGCACCGTTCTTCGATCAGCGATCCGTTCGGACATTTTGTTGGCGTCTATGATGGCTCTCAACAGACCTTCACCCTCGCCACGAAGCGCTGGTCCCAAACACTCTGGTCTTCGGATCAGCAAACGGATGACCAAGTTTGCATTTTCCTCGACACTTTCGCCTAGAAGGAATTTCGATCGTTTAGGCGTGATTTCTCTTTTCGATGCAAAAGAAGAGAAACAATTCATTTCAAGACGGAAATGTTGGAAATTTCGTGCTAACCGTTCACCCAAACGCAGAACCTCAAGAAGTCCAAGTATCGTTCACCCTCCACTGGATCCCATCCCAGATCAGGATAACCTTTCTCGACCAGTTCGGAATTCGATTGCAAGCCGCAACGCGACAAATAGATGGCGATCTTCTCGAGATAATGCTCCCTTAGAGCTAGAGCGAGCTCGGTGTTTTCCATGAGAGAGGAGTAAGCCACGTCCAACGGTGTCGAACCTCTTAAAGACGGCCTCGACAACAAGATATTACTGTTCTCTAACAAGAAGTCGAAGTGATCGAACATGGCCTTTTGATTCTGCCTGGAGGTCCGACAGAAATAGCAGAGGAACCTGCAGCATGCTACCACCATCTCGTGAGAGGTGTCCTTCTCTTTCGAAGCTGGTTCCCCTTCGGTTGTTTGAGGCTGCGTTTGAGCGTCCGACTGTGCCTGCGCGCGCCTGCCCAGCGTGTTCATCATGATCGCCATCACGTTCTCGTGAATTCTCAGCACTCTGATCAAGTCCGGATGCTGGAAGAAGGTGTGATTGTTGACCAATTTCCAGAGCCGTTCGCGAACCAGTTCCTCTTCCTCCTGGGACATTTGCACGGGCAGCAAGGCACGGATCTGGCTCAGACCGACCCACATCAGAGCAACGTCGTCCTTGGTCTTGCTGTTGATCACGTAGGTCTTCTCCAGAGCCCGAATTAGCTCGCCCACGGTGTCGTATTGGCGAACCAGTAAACTGAACATCTCTCGAACCAACTTCGGTGTCTCTATCTGCGACTCCTCGGCCCAGCTGACGATGGTTTTTATCAGGACTTTGCGAAACACCTCTGCAATCAAACGTTGAAGGAAGTCAAATGAAGAATGAAATCAGACGATAGAAAGGCAAGATGACAAATGACAATTAACAATGCGACGCAATTCCAACCTTCCGGCGTCTTCTTCTCGGGTTCAGGCTCAGGTTTAGGTTCCTCCTCGAGTTCTTTCACCGCGTTGATGAAGTTGAACAGCCTCTTAATGGCGCCGGGTTTCTGAATTTCTTCCGTTAGCTCCTCCACAGCGTCCGCTGCTTCCTGCAGCGCGTGCAACGACACGTACGACATGAGATTGTTGTGGAACTCGTTCATCCTGCCGATCAGATCCTCCCCGCAGGGGATGTTCTCCGGATCTTCCTCAAAGTCCATGTTCTTGAAGCTCAGGATCGCGTTCATCTGTTCGCGGGGCGGACACCGAAACTCTCTGGTCTTCTTCGCCGCGACCGCCGACGGCAGGTCGGACTGTTTGATCTCGATGTAACGCCGAAGCTGATCGGACTGAAGGTCACCGACGAAGTCGTGGCTGAAAGCGATGATCGACTCGACCCGATGTCGAAGCTGGATGTCGTTCAAGTGGTGAAGAAGATAGCACATCTGTAGTTTCGCGCCCTCGGCCATCTTCATGTGTAGCAGTCCTTTCTTGTGCTCGTCTTTCCCTTCTGAAATTGATTTATATTATTTTGTCACCTCGCATTCAGAAGAAAATTTCAATTTATGTTAAGAATATAGCAGGTCGGAGAATCGTTAAAATATTCCTAGTTTACATTTTAATTTGTATTTTGTATCAATATTGTTACAATTTGTAATTCGTATTTTGTAAAATCCAGTAGCCCGGGAAAGAAGTATTAGAATAATTAGGTAAATCGTTAGGACTTTCGAGGAAAATTTCTAGAATACAGTTTACCTTTGTCAAACGTCGGGTCCCAAGTCTCGGGGTGAATCATGATCAGGAGCTTCATAATATCCTCGTTCCTTAGCATTCCGACCAAGAGCAATCTATCAACTAGCTTCAAAAGCGGCCTGCAATAGACAAAGATCATATTAAATAGAAAGGCACGAGAACGGACGCGAATCTGCGGCAATAAGCAAGTTATCCTGAAAGCATTCTCTTCCATCTTATCGTTGCCGAAGACGCTAAATATAATGCAGAATAGCCCAGGCGTGTACGCGATCGTTTCGACTACATACAGGAAAAGATTCTCATTGCTGCCGCCGATAGGGTCTCGATTGTGAACTTGATTCACTTCGACAGCCTCGTTCAGTGCCGTCATCACGTAGTCTCGCACCACGTCCAGAGGGAAGTACGGACTGTAGAGGCTCCTTATATTCTCGATCGTTTGGTCGCTGGAAGGAATATCCCTTGATGTCGACTATTAGTCACGGGGTTCGCATCTAGTTTCGGATCGAGTGTACTTACCTGATGTCTGTCATTTTCATCTGAGGACGAACCGACTCGGTTTCCAGATACCTCAGGCTGTGCTTCATCTCTTCGCTCTCGTACAACTCCTTCAGTTCCTGGCCTGTGAAACGAACGAACCGAAACAGAGAAACAGAGAGTTTCATTGCGAAATACTTTGTGCGTCTTGCGAGTAAAAACATCTGCGTGCAGATAACATTAATATGAGAATATATAAAATGTCTATGAAAGTCGGTTCACCTAAAGGAATGATGAACTCGTTCGTGCACACTTCCATCGTAGTAGCGTGCGACTCGAGATGCAGCGCGATCAGCAAGTCGTAGAATCCTTGTCGTAGGGGCCCGGACATGTATTCCGCTCGAATCGCGTATAGTAATTGTTTCTGGTCGACGTGCTGGCAGAGAGCGTGTGCTGCTCTGTAATTCGACTGGTAGCACAGAGCTGCGTACAGCGTCAGCGTATGCGCGTGGAAACTGTAACAATTAGTCAGTCAGGAGTTTATAAACTCTGAGGATCGATATCACACCGCCAAATCTTACCTGAGCAACTTGTCCATCTCGATGAGCTCCAATATATCGATACACCTGTCCTCCTCAGGGATGTGCAATGCCAACATCGATATAGCGTCCTCGCACAGCATGGACCAACCTCTGATGTCGGACAGCTTCAGAGCGTGAACCTGAAGCGATTGATTTGGAACTCTTGCCCATTGGTGAGGCTTCAGGCATTGGACCTTCAATCTAGGCGGGAACTGCGGTATCACGTGACGTTCCGAGTTCTGCAGCACAGCAGCGGACAACGGTAGCGTCGTCGACGTTCTGCCAAGTTCGATCTGAAGGATCTCCTTGCTGGTAGCTTCCACGAAGATGGCGGGGAACAGCTTCGTGTCGGGTTCCATCTTGAACTTGTGGCTAGTTTCCTTTCCCTCGCAGGTGAAGGACACCCAACCAGTCGCCGTGTCCACGAAACATCCGACAAACATCCCCTGGGAAGCTCCTTTGCCGGACGCGTCTTGCGTTACTTCGTTGTACAGCTCGTCCGCTCTTACCATGTAGCAACTCTGTCTGTCCACTCTGCGACGAATCGCTCCGAGTTGTTGTAACTTCGGCGTTTGATATTGATTACGTCATTTCTATTAACATGTTCCGTGCCACGTGGGGCGTATACGCAACATTTTCATTGTAGAACGAAGAATTCTTGACAAAATTTGTATTGATAATCTTAATAACATGTACATGTCACTTTTGTCTGTCTGTTTTAAAGTAAAATAACGTTAAAATAAATATCAGTATTTAGTATTATTTTATAGTATTATATAATAATTATTATTTATTATTATTTAATACATAAACAATAATACCGAAAGTCTTTTATTTTAAATTAACTTTGACAATTAACATCGTTGAGAAATTGTTTGTCCAAATAACACCTTAAAATTGAACCTATTGCCTTTCTTGACAATTATAGTTTTTTCACTAGTGCAAAAATTGTGATTAGCCCCAGGCGTTGCCTAGACGGAAAGTAAAACTAAAAATCGGCCTGGCCACGGAACATGTTGGAAAGGTGAAACAAAACTTACTGTTCTATGGGACGATCGTAGTCGTCGGTGATAACCACGGAGCCCTTCCTCACGCGTGACAGATTGAAGTCTTTGGTGTGCAAGTGATACTGAGAAGTGACCCAGCCGACGTAGACGTGCGTTGGATCCTGCCCGGGAAATATCCTCACTCCGTAGAAGTACTCGTTCATCAGTTTCAAGCACTCCGCGTCGAATATCTCGTTTCCAATCGACTCGACACCGCTCCCGCTGAGAACCGACATTGCCTTTGGCGCGTTGCGTTCCGGGATCTGTGGCGGCACTACCTTCAAGTCCGTCTATGGAACAAATTTCTCCTCTTATTTTTTTCGAACTTTAATTCTTCCGAACGAACCCGGCGAGTAAGATCACGGCGCAAGCAGACGGTTGGACAGATACACAGACAAACAAACAAATAAAATAAATAAAAGGTTTTACGTTTGATATGCGAATTTGAGGAGGCCGGCTACTTGCTTTGTTCATCGGCATGGTGCTCTTGGTGCTCTTGTCGGAGACGTCAGAACGCACCGGTGGTTCGGGCGTTTTCGATTTCGCGTCCGGAGACTTCGCTTTGCGCGAGAAGAACCTGCGAGAAACAACACCGCATATTTCAGATATACGTTTTTCTTTCGTTTGCGTTCTTCTTCGTGTAACGAAAGGAATTGGTGTGCAAAGATTCGATTGATTCAACTTACGGGGCATCCTCCATCTCTTTGCTAAGTTTGCTAGGAAGGTCAAAATATCAAAAATCTACTTCCTCCGGAGGAGAAGACCGATTCGAGAATCGTTTGCGATTATACTAACCGGAACGGTGAACGCCCGCGTTTCTTCTTGTCGTCTTTGATGTCGCCGTTCATATCGCCGTATCCATTCATATCAGCCTCGCTGATCGCGTTGTCCATGTTTCCCACTCGTGATCCGTAGAGAGAACCCTTTCTTGGCGGCCTCGCTGGTTTGTTTCTCTGCATCGGCAGTGGCGACTCTTTCATCATTTCGTCGGCTTCCACCGCGTCCTCTGAATAATTCCTTTGCAGTCCTGGGGCAAACAGAATTTCCGTTAGAGAGAATTTAGAAATAACCGCTCTGCCTTTGAATAATTCCTCGGGTAATCTTCTTAGAGAAAGATGGAAGATTTTTGTGAAAAAAGGATTCCGGAAACCTGTACAATATCCGTTTTGGTCATTGATCTTACCCTTGATGTCGCTCATGCTGAATCCAGATTTCATAATCTGCTCCATGTGAGCGGAAGGCGCCGCTAGTTGAGCTTGCTCCACCTGCTCGGACAGCAGTTTGTTCTGTCGGATTTTGATCTCCTGCCACCTTCTTAGCTTCTCGCTCTCGGAGACGAACGCCGACTGACAAATAACCGGCAAGGACAGCCGAAGAAACTCCCAGTTCGCTTTCTCCATCGTCTCGAACATGTTGTGAGAGATCTTCAAACACGGCGGAGTGTCAGAACCCGCTGGGATTCTGGCCACGTCGATCCTCGTGTCGGCCATGTCATCCGTGTTCTCGAAAATCGGTTGATCCTTCGTGTACCAGTATGTAACCGGACGATTCATATTTCTGGCGCATTAAGAACGATTTTAAGCTTAGTAGATTGAGCTTGAAGACACGGTGAAATTTGTGGGAAACAGGAAAATGGCGAAATATATTTCTGGTAAACATATAATGAAATAGAATCAGAATGAAATGATTTCAGATATCTACTCAACAAGGATAAGAGTATCTTTTTTATTAACTAAGATAACCACATTGAAAAATTGGGAAAACTGCAACAGAGAATGCACCTCCTCGACAATCTCTCGATGGATTTATGACTGACGTGTACTACTTACACGCAGAATGGTTCGTATCCCTCTTGCAGACCGCACGTCGTGAAAAATTTCAAGGTGTTCACGTCTTGTCCGAAAGTCAATTTCGCTTTCTGCCCAACGCCGAGCGTGAAAGCTGGCACGAAACAGTCGCCCTGCACGTCGGCGAAAGACGTTTCACCACCGAGCGCGTCCATCAGCAGTTCACCGTTCAGAGAGAAGCCTGCGTATTTCGATTGATACTTGCGTCAACAGTGCTCGCAGTGAATTTCAACAGAGATTAATTGAGATTAATTCCAAGTAAAGGGGGCAAATGCGACTAGCAGGCTGAAAGTTGACGAAGCGTTACGTAATCGGGAGAGGGTAGCAGCAAGTGCAAAGACGAAACGCGACTATGTGCAACTATGCGAAGCGGGTGTGAAACATGCATGTAGGGAGGAACGGTGCTGTCGTAAAACTATAGAAACTATTAAGACACGAAAGTAGATTGACGTTATCACGAAGAGAATTGAATCCTCGAAAAAATCCTCAATATTTAGGTTTAGTCTCAAAAGAGAAATCTTCGAGATCTTCGATGAAAAGTTGAACGGTGTCCGTTCGAGAAAAAACTGTTGAAGATTATTTCGCAAGTTCAGCAAAATTTTGGAATTTCGTTTCTTACGTTAGTTAAGATTAGGCAAATATGAAAATCGTATGAGATATTATGAAAGCATTATTTGCTGTTATTTACAACTGAGTAGAATACTGGATACGAGAAGAATACAAGAACACACATGATACTAATCAAACTCGTAGGATGAAAGTGTGTGCAGCTTCGGTCGTAAATGAAATGGAAATCGAATGTATACGTAAAAGCGTTGCCATGTGATGATGCGACAGGATGAAACAATAATCTACAGTAACGAGTATCTGCACGTATTCGGGAAGCAAGTATCGTAGTATATATTCTCTTTGCCGTGTGACAATGCAAAGTTTGATTGATCAAGCAAACTCATACAAAGTTGTACGGGACATTGGTAAAATTAGGCGTACGATACGTTTCCACGATAAACACTAGAATAAATGCGGGCTATTTTGTTCGACTTTGGACTTTTTTTGTATGTATTTGGAAGCAACGGTATCTGTGTATCCAGTAATCTATCTCTTTGGATCAAATTATGTGTATGTAGTAGCTTGAAATGGCAGCTGAAGCGTTCGCTTGAAAGATTCGCCGTCTTACTAATTGTTCGGTCAATTAGATCCAGGAAAACCCCGACAACGTCTCCAACCTGCCATTGTTTGCCAAATGTCTCGGCTGTGCCTGAGTATACTTTTTCCTCCTTTAAAACAAAATTTCACCAATTCATAATCATCGTTGGTGACCTGTGCGCGAACCATGACACGCCTACCTCGCGACTAAATAACGTTTAACGTATTGATGAAACTTTTAATGTACCGTTCAACCGTGTATCACGTATGTCTCTGTATATACGTGGGCGCGAGATTAAGGCTTTGAACAGAGGCGAAATAAGACACAAACAAACGACGTACACTTACGATCGCTACGCTGTACAGATATAACGTTCACGTCTCACGGATTATCCCGCGGTCGCTAGAAAACGTCAAGCCACACTTCTCGAACGAAATCCTCAAGTGAACTTCGTTCGACAAAGAAAAGACGCAGGAGAAAAGAAAAGAGGAACAATCAAGTCAACATGGAGAAAAGAACATATAGAGACAAAG